GGGGCACCTCAGAAAGTGGCTCTGATGTCCTCCCTAAATAAGAATCTCACACCTTAGCCTTCACCTGCCACCTCCTGGGTGGAAAGGAAAGGACCAGTCAATGCTGAGTTTGAAGCTGGATTGTTACCTACCTGCTGATGGACTTTGAGCAGGTTGCTTGAGCCATACCTGTTTCTTTATGGCGGGGGCATTCATTCTCCCTTCTCCTGGCCATAGACCCTGTTGGCTCTGCTCTCAGCCAAGTTGAGAAAATGAGGCTGAATCTAGCAATGACCACATGACCAAACCTAGCCAATCAGAACACCCCATTCCTGTGCGCATGGTGATTGGTTCAGAGTTGAGCACAGGACCCAGCTGGACCAATGAGCACCTTTCTTGGAACCTTTAATAGAGTCACTGAGACCGGACACTGTCTTTCTTTATGGCTGGATGTAAAGATGAAGCTCTTTACATTCTCGTCTAAGAATATAGCCACACACAGGCAGGCAGGGCAACAGGTGGGGGGTTGTGGAGGGGAGACAGATACCTGCTGTAGCACCTGGATCCAGTTGCGCTTGAAGCTAATTACAGGGGCCGATAAATATCTTTTGGGCTTAAACCCAGTTTGATCTGCGTTTCAATCCCTGGAATTCTGCCCGATACCTCTCTGTGCCTCAGTGTTCTCCTCTGGAATGTGGGCATCAGAGCACAAAAGTCCCCAGCACACAGTTTTCACAGGAGGTACCCCTACCCCTCCCAAATCCCTCCCCTGCCAGGCTGAGACTTGGATACACTTACGCCCCAGAGTGGACGTGGAAGGACCCTACTTCATTGCCTTCCCATCCCATGGCCTGGAGGGAGGGATAGTCATCGCTCAGCTCTCCTTTCTTGCCCAGGAAGTTCTCTTGCTCGAAGATTGTCAGCCTCGAGTCACGGTGGTTCTACAGGAACAGGAAACACAGTCAGACCATCAGGCTCCCAGTTGGAAACCCAGGAGCCTTTCCTGGCCTCCACACTCCCTGCCCTTGTCTCCCAAATCAACCTTCCTTGCAAACCTTTTGGAAGGGCAATAAGGCAACAGGTACCAGAAATCTTACCATTTGCCCTTCCAGAAATTTCCACAAAGAAAATAATCATGGAATAAACAGGCTGCAAGAATGTTCATCATTAACAGTTTTTTCAAAAACAAACAAACAAAAAGGAATCAACCTTTATGTCCGAAATTGGGGATCCAGTGGTAAGCTGAGGTATTACACTGTGGTTAAGAAAAAGGGTGTAGAGGCCGGGCACGGTGGCTCACGCCTATATTTCCAGCATTTTGGGAGGCCGAGGTGGGCGGATCACCTGAGGTCAGGAGTTCAAGACCAGCCCGACGAATATGGTGAAACCCTGTCTCTACTAAATACAGAAAATTAGTTAAGTGTGGTGGCGCATGCCTGTAATCTCAGCTACTTGGGAGACTGAGGCAGGAGAATCGCTTGAACCTGGGAGGCAGAGGTTGCAGTGAGCCAAGATTGTGCCATTGCACTCCAGCCTGGACAACAAAAGCGAAAACTCCATCAAAAAGAAAGAAAGAGAGAGACAGAGAGAGAGAGAGAGGAAGGAAGGGTAGAGATATCATCTCAAATCCTTCCTACCAGGAAGCAGCTGCCACTTACCAACTGATTGAGGTTAGACAGGATTTCTGAGCCTCTGTTCCTGTATCTGTAAAATGAAACTAACCATACCCATTTTTCAGGGTTCTTTTGAGAACTAAATGAATTCAGAAGTTGGAAACTGCTGGGAATGAGGGACTGTATCTGTTGCAGCCCACCACGGGTCCCCATATTAGCACCATATCTAGACTGGTTGCAGAGTAAATGAACAAATGGACTTATGCACAAAACGGAATACTAGGGAGCTATGAAAAATGATGGAAGTGAGATTTAATCACCTAGACTGATGATTGTGATATATTTGCTCAGTGAGAAAAGCTAGTTTCCAAGCCTTAGACTCATTATGATTCCATTTTTGTGGCAAAATTATGTGTGCAGTATAGATAAGATATATAGATTATATAGATATAGATGTAGATGTTTATCTGGATGTGTATATACATAGAGACATAAATGTATAGGTTGAACATTCCTAACCTAAACATCCGAAATCCAAAATGCTCTAAAATCTAAAAGTTTTTGAGTGACGACATGACACTCAAAGAATGCTCACCGGAGTATTTCAGATTTTGGACTTTTGGATTCAGGCTGCTCAACCGTAGGTATTATAAATATTACAAAATCTGGGGAAAATATTCACAATCCAAAACACTTCTGGTCCCAAGCATTTCAGATAAGGGATAATCCATCCTGACCATACCAGGATTTTCCTTCAGAATTTTGGATGGTAAGTATGGTGCCTTATGTCATTTTAAATTAATAAGAGTTGAAAAATAAAATACATTTTTTTTTTTTTTGAGACAGAGTCTCACTCTGGTGCCCAGGCTGGAGTGCAGTGGTGCGATCTCAGCTCACTGCAACCTCCATCTCCTGCGTTCAAGTCATTCTCTTGCCTCAGCCTCCTGAGTAGCTGGGACTACGGGCATGTACCACCACGCCCAGCTAATTTTTTTGTATTTTTAGTAGAGACGGGGTTTCACCACGTTGGCCAGGCTGATCTTGAACTCCTGGCCTCAAGTGATCCACCCGCCTGGGCCTCCCAAAGTGCTGGGACTGTAGGTGTGAGCCACTGTGCCCGGCCTAAAATATACCTTTCTGAGCCTCAATTTTTTCATCGGTGAGACGGGAATAATAATGCTCACCTCCACCCACACTCCAAAAACAGCAATAAAATGTAAAATCAGGAGCATTGATATCGAATTAGGAGCAAGAAATGAAGCCCTTCATCCTCACTGGGCCCTACCATCCCTGGTACCCAACTTCTCTCAGGGTCCCTGAATCACAAAAAAAAAAAAAAGGGGGGCACAAAGCTGGCAGGAGCTCCTGTCACAACCAGGGCTGCTGTGAGCAGAAAGTTTAAGGTGGGCTCTGGCCAGATGCTATATGTTCTTCTTCCCAACAACATTGGTACTATTGCCCCATTTCAAGATGAAGAAACTGAGGCCAAGAGAGGAAAGAGACTAACAGCCCTTGTCACACAGCTTGAAGTGGTGACATGAGAATTTCAGCTCTGGGACATTTGATTCCCAAGTGCCCACGTGAGGGGCTCGGGCCTCCCCGGGACGCAGAAGTGGTAGAACTCACAGCACAGGCCACAGGCCGGAAGGAGGTGAGCCTCTCAGAGGGGTAGGCCGTGTTGCCACCCCAGGCATCCCAGCTCGGGTATTCGCCCCGTTCCAGAACGTACTGCTGCCCTTGGAAGCCAGCATGCTCGAAGCCCACCCACCTGCAGACAGAGGGTAGAGCGTGCAGGAGGTAAGCGTCCCCTTCACCCTGCATTCTAGACCAGCAGATGGGTCTAGAATGGTCACAGTCACAACCATTCAGGGGTGATTGTGCCCCCAGGAAACACTTGACAATGCCTGGAGACATTTTTGGTTATCACGATTAGGGGAGGGGCTTGGAAGGCCATCTATCAGGTAGAGGCCAGGGATGCTGCTAAACATCCCATAATACACAGGCCAGCCTCCACTGCAAAGGATGATCCAGCCAGAAACATCAGTAGTGCCGAAGTTGAGGGACCCGGCTCTAGACCTGACTTGCTGTGTGTCCCATAGGTAGGGAAACTGCTTCACACAGGTGCCCTGACAACATTGCTCCTCTGTTGGTTTCCACAGAGGCCGCAGAGTCAAAGCTGATCACAGACTGACCTTATCTTGGTGGAATTCCCTGTGATCCTGCCAGGGTGTAGGAGATGGGCCGTTTTGTGAGGAGCTACTGCAAGGCCATCTCTTATATTCCTCCCTCTCTTGTGGGAGGCTTCCACGAGGCAGTTCCTCATCTGCCTGTCTGGCCACTCTGAGATGTGGGGCTTTCCACCTCGCCGCCCCACAGGTGACAATAGCAAGCTATCGTTGAAGCATGGAAGCAGTTCTTCAGCCACGGGGTTCCCACCATTCCTGCTGCCTGTCATTCGGCCCCCTTTGTTTTGGTGTCATCCCGTAGGACAAGGGACACAGGAAGCTGACACCGTGCGCACCTTGCCTTTGCTGTCTGTGTAAGTAATAAACTGTCTGAATCTATCCGAGCTCATTATCTGCCTACTGGCTGAGTCTGTCAGCCTGCTGGACATACCCCTAGAAAGTCTCTGTTCCCATCTGACCCCCATTCCCCACCTGCACAAATCAGAAGCTAAAAGAGTATTTACTAAAGCATGAGATGTGTAAAAATCACCCAAGATGACCTCAGGTGGCACTCACAGGCATAGGATTAAGTGACTCCAAATCTCCTATCTACTTTCCAACCTTCTAGAACTTTCTATCCAATATGGTAACTACTGACCACATCTCCTAGCTACTTTCCAACCTTCTAGAACCTTCTATCCAATATGGTAACTACTGGCCACATCTCCTAGCTACTTTCCAACCTTCTAGAACCTTCTATCCAATATGGTTGCTACTGGCCACATCTCCTTTCTGTCTACTTTCCAACCTTCCAGAAATTTTTTCCAATATGGCAGCTACTGGTCACATCTCCTTTCTATTTACTTTCCAGTCTTCTAGAACCTTCTATCCAATATGGTAGCTACTGGCCACATCTTTCTAACTACTTTCCAACCTTCTAGAGCCTGCTATGCAATATGGTAGCTGCTGGCCATATCTCCTTTCTACTTGCTTTCCAACCTTCTAGAACCTTCTATCTAATATGGTAGCTACTGGCCACATGTAGTTAATTAAATTTAAACTTAAATAAATTAAGATTAAATAAAACATTCCGTTTTCTAGTCATGCTGGCTACCTTTCAAAATCCTTAATGGTCACATCTGGCCAGTGGCCCTGAAATGGACGGTGCAGATGTAGAACATCTCCATCATTGCAGACAGGTCCACTGAATGGCACTGGTCTAGAAAGTCTTGGTGTGTTATTATTGTGTCCTTAACACCTCTCTACATCTCACAATCTCTCTCTCTCTCTCTCTCTTTTTTGTTTTTTAATTTTGGTTTTTTGGGGGTTTTTTTGTTTGTTTTTTGTTTTTTTTTTAACAAAAAATGATCGGGCCACATGCTTAGCAACAAGACTGTTTAGCTAAAAATTAATAGCATTAAAACATTATATTCATTTTTATAGTTACCTTCTACTTTTGGTGAGTGATGTTGGCTTTCAATTTATGGCTAGGAGGGACATTTTTAGATCCAACCCTGGATTCTAAGGATCTTCTCCCGCAGAGCTGCCTCATCCAGTGGGCAGGGTCTGGGTAAATGACACCCTCCCACTGTTGGGCCGTGCACAACTTGCATAACCTTACATGGCAGTCCTGCACACTCCTCAGCGCTTCAGGAGGGCACACTAGGAAAAGAGGACCTATAATAGCTAAAAGTCCTAGCACCCGTCTCTAGGTCCCTTCCTGTCCACCCTCTACCCCAACTCAGTATCCCCCTAGACTCACGCTCCACTCAGCACTTTCAAAGATCGCACAGTCTCGAAGCCAAGCTCCAGCACACTGGGGCACTCAGCCGTGAATTCGTGCCGCCGGCCCTGGAAGCCGTCCTCATCCCACACCACCATCTGTGCCAGGAAAAAAAAAAAAAAAGAAGGTGGAGATCCGCATCAGAGTCCCATGGAGGGTGAGGGGTTGGGGGCTCACCCCAGGATCTGGCAGGTAAAGCAGGGATTGCAAACTCAGATGCCTCCAGGAGCCAGGCAGGCAAGGACAGTGAGGACTGTGAGACACTAGACAGCACAGGTGCCAGGTAGATGGGTGGCCTCTTCCCAGTGCCACCAATGGTTGCCAAGTGGGAATGCAAGCCAGACCTTCCAATTTCTCAATACGATCCCTAGATCTGGACTTTTATGTGGTTCTTCTAGGCTTTTAAAGGTTGATGATAAATCCAAAAGCTTTATGAAACAAACAAACACACACAGAGATGGTCAAAGAAATCATGCCCGAAGACTGCAATCTCTGCCAAAGAGTGTAACAGGTCAACTTTGGGAACCAGAAGACCCAAGTTCACATTCGACCTCCCTGTATGTGACATACAAGTCCCTTCTCGACTCTGAGTCTTGATTGCACCTCTGTGAAATAGGCATTTATAATACCCTCCTCCTAGGATTTGTGGGGACTTGAACCCTCCCCACACCTCCTGGACACGCCCTCCCCATGCCTCTTCCTACCTTCCAGTGTCCCGCTGACTTGGTGCATTGCAGGGTCATCGTGGCCCCTTCCTACAGAAGAGAAGAACATCATAATAGTCCGCCCTGTCCCTCTGCTGTCCTCTTTATGTAGATGGCTGGCTTAGACCTGGTCAGGATCCACATGGGGAGTCCAGGAGTGACTGGGCTATGGGCAATGCGTGGCTTTGGGCTGTCCCTCTCCTGTCATTTCCATCTGTCACCAGTGCCATCTTCCATCCTATCCCCATCTCAAAACTCACCCTTGCTGGGTCTCATTGACTCTAAGCCCCACTCTGTATTCTCTTATCTGCTTGTTATGGGAAAATTTCTGTGGCTATTGGTGGGTGGGTACATCACCCCAGCAAGTGCTAAAATGACAGTCCTTCCAAAGACAACGCCTAGCTCAAAGAGGTAGCTCTAATGGTGGAAATTTAGGCAACAGGGCTACAGGAATAATTTTGTTTTTAAATGAGGGAAGCAGGTGCTGGTCTTGATGGTTGGGGCTCATCATTGGTTAGGGTGAGGATGGCATTCAGGATGACACAGTGACATCCCTAGGACTGGGGACCTGGGCTCCTCACCTCCCAGGATGCTCACTCAGAACTCTGATCCCATCCCTCCTCCAAACCTGGGACTTACCGAGATAGGCCCAGGGAACATGTCAGATCTGAGACCAGCCGAGGTCAGGCTCTTATAGGCAGGGAGGGAAGAGGGGCCCCTGGGAGACAAAGCCCCGACTCAGCAACTGGGCCACAGAAACAAAAGCCAGCCCTGGCTGAAGAGCCAATGGCAAGCTGTCAGCAGCTCTGGCTTTAGCAGGGAGGGAATGGACCAGATCACCACCCCCAGGGATCAGCCACGGAAAAGCAGAGAGGTGGAATATTGGCCCTCATTAGCCCCGCAAGGTTCCTGACTAGACCAGGAGAATGAACACTAGAGGAGGAGTCCAGAAGCATCCTTCCTAGCTATGTGAGCTTGAGCAAGTCATTTCCCCTCAATTTCTGCCTATAAAATGCGGCAGAAACAAACTATATCACAGAGTTGTTGTGAGGTTACATAACACACCTGGTACAGAGTAAACGTTCAGGAAATGTCTATTCCTTTCCTCCTCTCATTCCCCTTTCTCTTCCAGTTGAAGCAATCAGGATAGGCTGCCTGTTGGAGGAGGCATTTGAACTAGACTCTGAAGGATGAAGAAGATATGTACAGAGTTAGACGGAAGCAGAGGCATTCTAAGAAAAGTTCAGAGGTGGGAACTTGGGGCACGTGTACAAGAAAGAGCTGGTAGCCCAATTGGCGGAGCTCAGGGGACCTGAAGGGAAGTGAGGCAGGAGAAGAGGTCTAGGCCAGGGCCTGCCAAGTCCACAAAGCCCGAAGATGAATCCAGATGGCTCTGTGGGCAGCATAAAGGAGCTGTTAGTTGCAAACATGCTTTGCAAACTGTAGCACACTTGCCACATATCCAGGACTTGTACAATTTGCTGTGTGCCTCTTGTCCCTAAACTCTGCCCTCTGAATTGGCCTATGAGGGGCCTCTTACAGCATAGGAAAAGAGCATGACTGGAAACCAGATCATCTGAGATGAAATCCAGCTCTGCTTCTTTTACCATCTGGGTAACCTGGAGGATATCTGAGTCCTGCTCATGACCTGTAAAGTGGCCACACCAGTTTCCTTTTAAGAAGGTGAAATGCAGCTCTATCAAATGCATGACTTTAGGCCAGGCGTGGTGGCTCATGCCTGTAATCCCAGCATTTGGGGAAGTCAAGGTGGGTGGATCACCTGAGGTCAGGAGTTCAAGACCAGGCTGGCCAACATGGTGAAACCCCGTCTCTACTAAAAATACAAAAATTAGCTGGGAGTAGTGGCAGGTGCCTGTAATCCCAGCTACTAGGGAGGCTGAGGCAGGCGAATTGCCTGAACCTGGGAGGCAGGGGTTGCATGAACCAAGATCACACGATTGCACTTGAGTCTGGGTGACAGAGCAAGACTCCGTCTCAAAAAAAAAAAAAAAAAGGAATGCATGACTTTGACTAAGTGTTGGCATGAAAATTAAAGGTTAAGAATGCAACCTCTACAGCCAGACTGCCTGGGTTTGCATCCCACTCTTGCTGGCTGGGTAACTTTAGGCATGTTACTTAATCTCTCTGAGTCTCAGTTTACTTGTGTATCAAATGGGTATAACAAGATAAGTTACAGCTAGCCTAAGAGACAGGGGTATTGTGAGGATAAATGTGAACTGCATGTGAACAGCAGCTGGAATTGCTCCTGCAACATAAAAAATTACCGTATTTCCATCATCTTCATCATCATCATTGCTAATAATAAAGATGATTACTATTAATTATTGATCAAAAAAGCAGGAGTACGTAGGTTTTAAGAGCCTGGGTTCATGAGTAAAGAAGATGTGAGTTCCAAGTTCATTTTGCATTTCCATTTGTATGAGAAAGTGAGCTGAGAGAGAGGAAGGAAAGGGAGTTGCTTCAGTTTCCTTATCTGTAATTGGGGTTAATCCTAAAACTTCATCCGTATACTGAGGAGTATAGGAAAATGCAAAAAAAAAAAAAGAAAGAAAAAAAGAAAAGAAAAGAAATTGACTCCATAAGACAGGGCAAAAAAGAAAAAGATATAATGAAGGATACAATAATAATAATAATGATAAATGGTCTGAGTGGAGCCACCAGCATGGTGAGCCATCCCCCTTCTCTGCCCCCACCCTCTGGCAGACAGCCCATTCCTAGGGGGGTTTGGGGGGAGCACAGAACTGCCCCAGATGACCTGGCTTTGAAGCCTAGACTGGTGGGTGGCCCCCACCACAGGCATCTTGGCCCCAGTTCCAGTGGCTACCCCATCTTGCAGTTCCTGCCCACACCCCACCCACCAAGTCTTGGCCCAGGATGAAAGGCCAAGGAGGGGCTGGGAAGCGAGGGGGTGCTGGGTGGGTGGAGCGACAGAGGCAAAGCTGGCTCCAGGCCAGGGAGAGCTCAAGACAGAGCTGGGTTCCGTGGGGAACCCAGACCCCCAAAGAAGAGGCAGGAGCCTATTCAGAAGTCCCCTCCATACATCCTGCCTGGGACTGGGGAGTCGACTGCAGATGACCTAGCTGAGCAGCTCCCCAGGCTCCCTCTGACCCCAGCTCTAGTGTGAGTTCCCAACGTGTGACTGCTGAAGTCACTTGTTCCACTTGGGCCTCGGTTTCTCCATTTGTGAAATGAGAGGATTGAGACCTGTGATTTCTGGTGTCTGTTCCGCCATCCTGAGGCTTGCTTGCCCCACCTTGACCTCTGTCTCTCCGTCTCTCGCTCCTTCACTGTCCAAGTCCCTTGTGCCTCTGTGTCTCTGTCTCCACCTCTCTTTGTTACTTCTATCTGCCTCCCTACTTCTCTCTCTTTGCCTTGGTTTCCCTATCTTCCCTGTACCCTACCTTTTGTTCCAATCCATCAGAACCACTATTTAGTCACCAGATATTGACTGAGAACCCACTGTGTGCTAAGCCCTACCTAGACAGGCCCAGCTAGGTGCTGGGGCCAGTGGTGAACAAGATGTGGTGGGCATCTGGGGCTTCCCAGGGTGGGAGGCTCTGAGACAGGCAGTCATATTCCTGACCACCAGCGCCGTCCCCCGGGTAAGATAACGTGGCCTGGGTAGAGGCAGGGAAGGGGTGTGGCAGGAGGGGTCACTATCGATAAGTCAGGAAAGGATGGGGTCCAATGTGTGTAAGAGGAAGAGACCCAGGTCTCCAATATCCAACCCAGCTGAGCACAGTGAGACTCGCCCATTCCCACCCCTACCTACAAAGAGGAAGTTAGGCCAGGGGGCCTCAGGCCAAGGTCAAGGCTGGACAGCAGGAGAAGGAAGCACACAGGCCCAGAGCTGGCTGGCCTGTACTGTCTCTGACCTCTCTGTGCCTTTGCTTTCCTCTTCTGTGAAATGGGCATAATGAAAGTATCAAATAAGGCAGATTGTCCTGGGGACTGACCGAGATAGCATGGGTTCAGCCTACAGTAAGCACTCTGTAAAAAACGCTGTCCATATCAAACCCACATCTGCCTTTACAAAATGCTTCTATGCTCGTTGTCACCATCTTTTCTGTGCAGCATCCAATAGGGACACGTGCCCACCTTATAATTGCAGACACAGAGGTCCCCCTAGGGGTAGAGACCTACCAGAAGCCACACAGTGTATAGTGGCTGAGTCACGATTCAAACTCTGGTCTCCTGCCTCCCAGGGTCTTCCCTTTTCCCTGTCCCATGTTGGCAGCCAGCAGGGACCCTTCTGGGGACCCATTCCCTGGCTGGGGTTATCGAGAGAGGAGTCAGGGTAGGGTTGGAAGGTGAAGCTGCTGTGGCCAGGGTTTCTGCTGTGTGTGCTGGTCTCACAAAGGAAAGTGCTGCTGTCTGCAGTGATCCAGGCGAGGTCGGGGCCCCAGTCCCCCACTCCCTGCCCGGGTCTGCTGAGCCAGCTTCCCCTTTGTGCCACAGACTATAGGGCCTGATGTCTGCCAGACTATAAAATGGGGGGTCGGCCTCTAGTCACCCATAGCACCTGCCTGCCTGCCTGTCCTCCAGCAGGAAGTAGCAAGTCCCCAGGTAAGAGGGAACCCACAGCACAGCTGAGAGTTGAAGGGGAGGAGAAGAGAAAAGGGAGGCAGAGAGAGGGAGGCAGAGATAGCAGTGCCATGAGAGTCAGAGAGGCAGGGCCGCGGAAATAAAGACAGAGAGAAGTGGAGAGAGGAAGAAAGGGACGGAGAAGGAGAGGGGGGGCGGAGAGAGAGAGAGAGAGAGAGAAATAAACAGAGAGAGAAGTAAAGATAATTAAAAAGAACAGATAAAGAGATAAGCAAAGATACAATGAGGGTGAGATAGTGGGGGAGAGAGGAACAGAGAGGGAGAGAGAGGAACAGACAGGAAGATAGGCAGAAAGAGGGAGAGAAGAAAGAAACAGATAGAGAGGCAGAGAGGGAGGAGAGGAGGAACAGAGGGAAAGGGTGAAGTGGGGAGAGAGAGTGAGAACATCTCCAGGAAGGCATGAGTCCAGCTGCCAGCCCTGGGGGAGTGTTTAAAGCCACAGATGTGGCTCAGATGTCTGGCCTCCCCGCTGGTGAACAGGGCACCCCAGAATATGCACAGCCTTCCTGGAGGAGGCTGGGGGAGGGATCTGCTTATCCCAAATAGCTCCTCCTTACAGAATGGGTTCCGGAATCAGCTTGACCAGAGGGTCTTAATCTGTGCTAGCATGGGGTCCTCAAATCCCTGAATACTGTCTCCAAAGTTAAAGGGGGCATTATTTTTGTCTGAGGACAAAGTTGGGGTATTCATCAAACATTCAAAGGAGTCCATGACCCCAAAGCAACAAGGAACCACTGGAATTGACCAACACCCTCTCCACACAACGCCTACCCAGCCACAGTCCTCATTTTCAGAATCCTCGACATGCAGTAAATACATCCTCTTGGATCCTCCCGTATGCCCCAGTCCCCGGCCTGTATTTGCACCCATACACCAGCCCCCCAGAGAATCCCAGAGGAAGCGGACTAGGAAAGGAGTTGGGAGCATGCATTCATTCCTTCTCTGAACAAACGTTAATTGGGCATCTCCTATGTGCCAGGTGCAGAGCAAGTGTTAGGGATGGATGGTGAATAAAGCAGATTAAGCAAACGGCAGA